GGCCAATAAAGAATTCTATTCTATTCTATTCTATTCTATTCTATTCTATTCTATTCTATTCTATTTATTCTATTCTATTCTATTCTATTCTACTCTACTCTACTCTACTCTACTCTACTCTACTCTACTCTACTCTACTCTATTCTATAAATTATTAGCTCAGAATTTTATAAGTGATAGACTTAATTTTTCTGCCATCTTTTACAAACTCTTTAATTCTTCCCCTTTCTTTTTTTGGATTTGGGTACTCTCTGCTTCCCACAGCTGTTTTTCCAGTAGAAATTGGGTAGATTTGCCTTTCCCTTTTGGCTCTTTTCTTCCTGTGACTTTACTATATGGTGAAGTCAATCTGGAAGGTCACCTCTTTCATCAAGTATTCGATTTGCATCCAAAATTGTATGTACATGAAAAATGTGGTTGTGTGTCGCACCTAGCTGCAGACGCAGATGAAATTCTGTAGAAAGCCTGATGCACGCTAACCTTTGCAGATGGCTCAGCTATTGCTGAAAAATGGATTGCTTAATAAAGCATATCATCCGACATATTTGCTGCTTGGCTAGCCAAATAGAAGTTGTTTTTTGCACAAATTTCCTTGTCAAATTTGTCAATGTTCATGTCATTTTTGCTTTAGGTCACAGAGCAAGGTGCAAAATCTTGGCATCTTTGCTAGTTGCAAGCCAGTTTTGGCTATTTCTAACAATGGAGTGAATTTCTCCCGAGATTCAGGTTTGTTACGTATATAAGGAATAATGGGGAGGGGAGGGGGAATCAGAGTTATAGAATGCAGAGGACTTTAAAGAAATTGTCTGGTGCAGGGATGAGGGTTGATTTCTTTTGTTTTTAAAAATAGGGATAAATATTTGTATTTGTATTCAAGGAATCTGTTAGAAAGACAGGGCTGAGAAAGATACTGCTTTTTCCTTTAAACGATTTAGTTTGTTCAGCTCTGTTGTTTCAGAGGATTTTGATGCATGTAGATTATTTGCTTGCCTGCACAGAAAATGTATTCCTTTGTACATGGATATTTACAGGATGGGGTAGTTTCTGTCAACTTCAAGGTAAGGTCCCTTTGCTCTTTCTTATACACTGTATTCCTTTACATCTTGTCTGAAACTACCTGAAGACTTCATGGTGCTCTTTACATTGAAGAATTTAATAGCAGGGTGTGAATGTATATATAGTATGTATGTATGGCTTGAACTGTTGTTCATTCTCACTCACTTCCAGGCCAGAATTCTATTTTGGAGGATTTGTTTTATTCACTTAACAGAGAAACAGTGATGGGATTCAGCCAGTTCGCACCTATTCAGGAGAACTGGTTGTTAACTTTCTAAGCAGTTCGGAGAACCAGTTGTTGGAAGAAATCTCATTTTATTTTTTTGTTTTTTCCAGTTTACAGGGCTAATCCTGTAAGGAAGGCAGGGAGGAAACATTCTGGTATTGTTTCTATCCTAATCTTTATTGTCCTGCTTACAGAAACTGCCTCTCCTGTTAACCCTTATTACATTGTAACAGCTAAGGCGGTGGCCATAGACCTAAGTGACATTGAGTTGGCCACGCCCACCCAGTCACATGACCATCGAGCCACTGCCCTAATGACACAGTTGGTCATTAGGGCAGAGAACTGGTTGTTAAATTATTTGAATCCTACCACTGATGCAATGTGGACACTAACCCATCCATTATTACTTTTGCTTTCATCAAACTTCCTCTCCTGATCTGTTACTTGAAAGTAGTGCCTTAAAGGAAAAATGAGATACGTTTTGTGGCTTTAAAATATAGCCAATATAGCCAATAAATATAGCCCTGCTTCCAGAAACTCTTGTTAACCCTTATTACATTGTAACAGCTAAGGCGAAGCGCCCATCAACCTGAGTGATGTTGAGTTGGCCATGGTCACATGACCACCGAGCCCCACCTACCCAGCTGGTCATTAGAAGAGAGAACCAGTTGTTAAATTATTTGAATACCACCACTAGAGAGAAATGAGTCTCACCCATCCTTAAGGAAAGGTTGGCTCTTCTGCAGGCCCCTTGGGACTCTCTGGTGCCAAATTTGTGCTGATTTCTGACTGAACTCTAGTTGTAGCAGAAGATTAAGATCAGGGGAAACAAGGTGTTTTGAAAACCCATCCATACAGTCCACACAGTCTTCTTATCCAGGTGTCAAAGCACCC